CACAACTTCTTCTGGGTCCGCTTCAACGATGACTTGCTTAAACTCTATATCACCGTTGCTGACCGCTTCCGAGTCGTAGTTGGGGTCATTCGCGTCCTCAACATACTCCTCCAGAAGTTCACATCCTGGTGCACCCCACACACCCTTACCGCCTGCACCACCTGCGAATAAAATCATCTTACTAATAGTCTGTTTAGTTATCTCCGAAACGGCTCGATGGATTTTGTTGAACTTTGGCATACATATAGAACATAGTCTGGACGAACACATAGACAATTAAGTTATTTTTAATTCCACGCGGACGGAGTCGCAGGTGACAGTTAGTCTTACTATAAATGGGAATGTTTAGATGAATTTTTGTTAGACGGTATTTCCGAAAGTGCGTGGATCTCAAAAGGGGAAATCTACTTAATGGGTCAGTACAACAGGGTAAATACTACTGCGAATGAGCCAGTTTGATAACTGAAAAACTTCTTTAAAATATCCATTTTGGCATGGGAAAGACTATTCCGATATGCCAATTTGATATTAGAAATACTGTTAAAGTCTCGATATAAATTAGCTTCAATACCCTAATGGTTAATGGTACGGATTTCCGATCATGAGGTCGCGTATTCGAATCTTGCCACTCCACTATTAAACCAAGATCTATCTTAGCCTAGAGCTTAGTTGGAATATACAAAAAACTGCTAATATTTTTCAAACAAACAAACGAGCAAACGAGCAGCGGAAACACCGAGGTGTTCATCGACGCCCATGGAAATCAGCAATACCAGAGGAACCGCAGATGCATTGCCGGCCTTTGAGATGATACGTTCGCTTCTTGAAGGACCCTAAGTCATAGCAGTTTGGAAATACCACCAAGGACAGACTATACCACAACGCGCTGTTAATTAACCCTTATTCAAGATTTCTTTTTTGAAGAAAGAAAAAAAGTTAAAAGAGAACTAAGTTAAAAATTGTTTTATAGTGATCGTATATTTTTATAATGTTGTACGTATGGCATACTATACAAAATGAACATAAGGGTTTATCATCTCTGCCTACACTCTTAAAAAACAACGTGATATTAAATTTACAAACGTTATCTAACTCTGTAACCTTGAAGTATGAAACTGTATATTTGCGCCATAACAAAAGGTGACTCATTGTTTTTATAAATAGTCGCGTGCCGGCGAGATTCTACTAAATTATATTACCTTTGGTTTCTAAGACTATTCTGTACTGCACCACCGGCGGGGAAGCAACGCGGGGGTCCCTTTCAGAACTCACTGGCAGCCCCCCGTGCCATCACACCACGACCTTTAGTCGCGCTTCAGCACTCCCGTTTCATCGTATTACAATCATTAGCAACCAGCCAGTCTTTCATTCTATCATACAGTCCACTTGCTCATCATCATCATCAGTTCACTATACATCCCCACCGAGGGGCTCAGAGCCTACCCTAAGTTAAGGGCGACTAGGCCATTGTCATCAATACGACTTAGGGACCTTCAAGAAGCGAGCATACCATTTCCTTAAAGGCCGGCAACGCATCTACAGTTCCTCTGGTGTTGCAGATGTCCATAGGTGTCGTTGACCACCTCGGTGTTTCCGCCGCTCGTTTGCCCCCTTCTCTTATAAAAAAAAAAAAATCACGGTGGCCAAGTGCGGGTTGACTTCATTTTTTTTACTGCGTGAATCTGATGGTAGACCTCCAGTGAGAAACTTAGGTCAGAGAGAAACCGCTATAGGCAAGAACATTATTGTGATCTCTTGGACTCTCACTTATAGAGGTTTGAATGTCTCTAGTTTTTTAAAAGGAACGGAATATGTATCAAGTTGCAATGCTATTAAAACCTATAAAAAGAAACTAGCCCTTAATTTTACGAAATTTTTTGTAGCAAAAAAACATATTTTTTTTTAGTAAAGTCATACTTACATAATTTTGTTAATTTTTTTTTAATTAGTTGTTCACACTGGACACCGTCGAAAAAAGAATTAAAAAGTTTTATTTGTTTTTTTAATCTGTATTCAATTGTTTTTTAGGTAATGTAAATTAACCTTCATATTATTTCAAATGTATATAATGACTGACATAATAAATTAAATATACTTAATTTCAAATCAAATACTCTTAAAGTTTATAAAAAAAACAATCTTTCTAATATTATAAATGCGAATGTTTAGATGGATGTTTATTTGAAATTATCTAAAGCATTCGGTTGTTGAATGCTTATCAATAGAATTTGTCATACATATAGAACATAGTCTGGAAGAACACAAGCCAATAATTATTTTTTTTGTCCACACAGACGGAGTTGTGGGCTAGTCTCACTCTAAAACAGTGATTTCCAAACTTATTTTGTCTACTGCCCACTTTGAGAATAAATATTTTTAGCGCTTCCATATTTTCACATATTTAAATACCACTATAACTTCAAATTAAATTAATTAATTATTGTGACTTATATATGTATATTAACGGAGAAGTGTAAAGGAAACTTTTACTATAACCCGCAACTTGAGACCTGCAGGGCCCACAAGGGGGCATTATTGCCCACTTTGGGAAAGACTAAAAAGATGGCTATGTGAATTTCTTGATATCTAAAATTATCAACCTTTTATCATATTGAAGTGTTAACAAATGTTTTTTTTATTATCAGAGCAAACAGATTTTTCCAACAAAAACATAAAATTTGATTAAAACATCTTAAGATTAGATATAGACTAGCTGTCGCACATAAATCCCTGCGCGCGGAACTAAAAAAACGTTATAAGTAGCCTATGTGTTCTTCCAGACTATGTTTTACATCTATGCCAAATTTTATCAAGATCCATTTAGCCCTTCCAAAGATACCTTCAAACATCCATCCATCTAAACATTTGCATTTAAAATATTAGTAAGAAGATGTTAAATACAGATTAGATAAAAGTAGAGTTTTTATTTGATTTATTGGAAAATAGTGTTAACTATGAAATAGTACAGCTTCAAATGCAGACATGAAGTAGAGAATTTTACATTTCATTTAACAAATGCATTGCTGCAACACCAGTATCTCTTCCCCTTCCATTTTCCAATAAGTTTGGATAGGATATGCGGATTTAATAGCATAGGGGATGGATAAAGATAAGAGATGTAGGGAAAAGAGGTAAACATAGTGTTAACTCTATTTAGGGGCAGAATTATGTAGGTAGTTAAAAAAAACTTAACAATGTTCTTATCAAATTTTCTAATAAATATAGAAAAGAAATATTCATCAAGATCCGTGCAGTTGTTCCAGAGATACCTTCAAAGAAACATCTATCCATCTAAACATTCGTATTTATAATATTAGTATGAAGTATGACAGTATTGCTTTTTTTAAGAAAAAAACAATAATGGCGGGAAAAAATGTAAACAAAAATGACCTACGCCAATTCAATAGGTTTACAACTGCGCAAAAGTCGAATGATTGCGTGACCTTGGAACACTAAAATGTCGCCTGTTATGTTGGTAGCCACACCTCGCAACAACATGTTAAAAATAATACGACCACATGTTTATACATAATAAAACGTAATTAAAAGATAATAACTTCGTATTATACTGTTAAGATATCATATAAATTTATAATATCACAAAAATAAAATAGAAAGCATAAATATTTTGAATATAAAACATCAAAATATTCCTTTGTTGTTATGTCAGAACCAGGTCAATTCTTATAAGATTTATTTCTATAAATACAACGTACAATAACAAAAGTTAATTGCATCCTAAGTACATATAAGATAATGCGTGGCCGGACGCCGGTATAAACACAAAACACGACAACGCAATAATTTACAAATATACTACGATAAAGGCAACTGTTCTAGAACTTTCGATCACGTTGAAAACTAAATAGGTTAGAATAACATAGAAATTTTAGAACAAAGGTTACCTTTCTTAGGCAAGCCTCTGCCGTGGCCATTTCGCGGCCTACGACTGTTTTTCCAGCTCCTATACTTCGGTAATGGTGTTGATACGACGCCGACCGCCTCCTTGCTGTTGCTTCTACCATATTTTCTGTTTTTACGCTTAATACGACCGGTATGAGAGCTAGCGGCGTCCCCTGCGCCTCCTTCTACAACACTTTTATCATTTTCATCCACCGCCACGTTTTCCGAATCGGAAGCAATGCGGTCAACTTCCATTGCTAAACCGGCTGAAATCTTACAAAGCGTTCCTATGCAATGTTTTTACACAATGCAAGCAGTTTTCTATTAAATAACTGCGGAAAACGCTTTTAGGACAAACATTAAACAATGAGAATTGAAGAGGTTTATTACACGTATTCGGCGATTCGATGTTATGTATTCAACTTGTGCGTATTTGTTTTGAGAACTCAATCGACGTGAATGAAGCTAGCAGAATAACAAGGTTGCACAACACCAGTGCTGCCAACTGTGCGTATTGAAATATTGCGGAACTAGTGTCATTTAGGGATCATACAAACGACCGAATAAATAACGCTAGAATTTCCATTGTATTTTTACTGAGCTTTTACATTTTATAGTAGTACAGTACCGGTCTCTTTACTAATTCGGCAAATTCAAGAGGCTGCTTGCTCGTTTACCACCGTATAATATAAAAAAGACTCATACAGAATACAATGGTAAAACACTTTAATACTCTTTTAACAGATGCATTTTGGATACTACACAATATTCTGTATGTCTTTTAGTTATCATATCCATTTATTTTATCCTATTCACTGTTGCTTAAGGCCAAACATTGTAAAAATGCTAACTTCCGTATTTGTTGATGTGCCAATGCCTTTTTTTAACGAGGTCACTTAACATTACACAACTAAAATCCATAAAATATTTGTGTTTTAAATCTTTTATTAATTTCATCAAATAATATTTTTTGTGTCCGGCGACTATTAAAATTAAAAATCGCTCGTTTGTCTATCCCTCAATGCCTTTCACTTATAAGCTACCAACATAAGGAATCAAATTAAAACGTCAAATCAAATCATCAATATCCTTCAAATAATAATAAACACAAAAAGTTAACCTAATATTCAAAACAAATCTACTGCGTGCTTAATTCTTAGTTAACAAATAAAAAACTTAAATTGTGGCTCAAAAGCGATTGAGTTAAATTATTAAAAGTTTCATCTTGTTGTAAAAATGAAGAAACACAAACAGAGCTTATTTACGAAGAAATTCAACAACTTAGATTCCCAAGATTATAACGATGATATACTTTGGTCATCCAGTGAGTCAAGTGATTGTGAAAACAAATCCAACACATTAAACAATTCATTATCCAACTCACGGAAAAGAAAAAGGAAAAAGAAGGTAAATCAAAACCTATCAAACTTAAATATCATTGAAGTTTCACGAAACGATAAATTCTCAGACCAAATGACCAATGAACAACAGTTATGTTCAGAAAAGTGTATGATAAAATCATCACCAATTTTAACTTCTAAAAGTAAAAAGCAACTTTCTGTAAGTCCAGTTTTAAAATCAAGATGTTTGAAATCGTTTAAAAACGACATAAATATACTTACTTCGCCTATATTAAGTTCTAAACTACAAAAGAGCGTGAAAGAATTAAGCCCTGTATTAGAACCAACATTACCTCATATTACTCCTAAAGTTAAGAAGAAATTATTTATTGAAGCCAATAAAAATAGATATCAACCATATAAGCTTATTGACGACATAAAATCTATAAATGAAACTAAACAATCGAAACTAGAAATAGACAACACAGATTTAGAGATTTCTGGAACTTCAATTGAATCTAGTGATAGACCAAAAACAAAATTTGATTTAATAAAACGAGTACAATCATATTTCGATAGTCATTTCAGCTCAGAAAGTCTATCCCAACAATCAATAAGCGAATGTGAATCAACACCTCAAAATATATCTAAATCAAATGAAGATATTTATATAAACAATATAATAACACAAGTAAAAGATATACAACCAAATAAACAAAACAGTTTTCAATCGAGTTGTGAAATAACTGAAAAAGTAAAAAAAAGATACAGGAAAGATGGACTTGCATTTAGACTGGCTGGTTTAATAAAAAAACAAAACTCAAATATTAGTCTGTGGCAACATGAAAAGTTCCTGGCCACAAATTCCAATTTTGTGATACCAACATGCGAACATTGGGTGTTCTTAATTCAAAATATACAACTTAAATATGGCTGTTATTTAATTGAAGTTAAAGATTTAAAAGATGAGGAATATCTAATAATAATTAATTTAGTTAATATAAATAGTAATTTTATAGCTCCTAATTTTGTTATTAAAGTATATAAGCCATACAATTTATTGCAAATAAATAATCTTAGGGTTATTGTTAATGTTTGTAAGTTTGAATGTCTTCCATTATGAATGTAATTAAAACTCAATATTCAGTAAGATCCTTTTTATTTTTTAACAATACTAATATCTCTTCTTCTTCTTCTAGCTCTACAGCACTTTGTGGGCCTTGGCTTGGTCCAGCAACTTTTTCCACCTCGGTCTATCTCTGGCCACTGGCTTCCATTTTGCTATGCCCACTTTTTTTGCGTCCTTACTACACAATACTAATATACCAAGAGAGTAATTAATTTATCACAACACAGGCAAGAATGTTTTAATCATAAAAATTATACCTATTTTTTTTATATCATAAGGTGGCAAACGAGCGAGCGGCCACCTGAAATCGCTGATATAGGGAAGTGACAGTTGCCCATAGACATACGCAATTGCATATTCGTTGCCTACCTTTAAACGACAGAGAAGAGGATGCACAGAAAGAAAATATATTCCCTTTCCATGCATCTTCTCATCTGGAAAGTCCACATCCACTTCCCATCCTTTCCTTATAAGAAAAAGGTGGGAAGGGAAAGAGGACTAAATTAGGCCTCCGGGACGCACACTCATCAGACGAAACGCGGAATTGCTTCCACTTCATGCCTGTCTTCTCTGTGGTTATGGTATTTCACCGGGCGAACCGGGCCAATTTGTGCGAAGATGTTAAAGCAGGCTCTACCACTGTTAAAATCCTGACCACAAAAGTAAAGTCATTTAGGCTTCAATTTTTCCCCCAATTTTATTATTTACATTTAATTTTTGTGCAAATAATTTTTCTTAATTTGGGTATAATTTTTTTTACATTAATATTTGCATTACTATGTGAAAATGGTATTAGAAATAAACATCAAACTTGTATGAAACACAATCTATAGATATATATTGTTGTCTCTTTCTTGTAAAAGGAAATGAAAGGGATAAAAATATTACTATTATTATAAACGCGAAAGTTTGGATGGATGACTGTTTGTTACTAAGTATGTCATTAATCTCTTAATGGATCTTGATGAAATTTTGCATGGATTTAGAACATAGCCTTGAAGATCATGTAGCCTATTAAATTAAGCTTAAAGTTTTTTTTTTTAAATTCCGCACGGACGGAGTCGCGGGCGATGCTAGTATGTATAATACTAATGTCACTAACGTGGAATTTGACATTTAGAGTGACTATTTCTATGAACATTTAAACTGTCTTTTCTACTAAAACTTTTTCCACATTCCTGACATAAATAAGGTCTGTTTCCACTGTGTGTCTTCTCATGGTTGGTATATTGTATTTTCTGGATAAAACTCTTGCCACATACAAGGCATGTGTATGGCTTCATACCAGTATGTATGTAAGTATGTCTGTCCAAAGAACTCTTCTTGGTGAATCTGTAAATTACATTGTCTATTCAATTCTTTATTTAATTTAATCCTTATAAGTATTGACACAGTGGTTAGCCGCCAGACTTCAACTACAAGTCTTGAGTTCAAATCCTGATAGATACCAATGTGTTTAAAATTTGTATGTTTTTTTTTAAGTAATGAGATTGAATGTGGATGGCTACGAAGGTAGAGGAAGACCAAAAAAAGTATGGTATGACTGTGTGAAAGAGGATATGCCTAGAAAGGGGGTAAATTCGGATATGATGCCTGATAGAGATGTATGGAGGAGTAGTACATACTGTGCCGACCTTCGATAGGGATAAGGGCAGATTGATGATGTATGTTAAAAAATATTGTGATGCTACCTATATTCTTTCAAAGATATGAAGTCAAGCTATCTTCCATGGCAGAGCATGTTTTAAAAAACCTAGACACCCCTAGCTTCTATAAAAGAATTGGCTATAAGGCATAGTTTTATGTGACTATTCGATAGTCACCATTTTGGGGCTGATACCTGAACTAATAATTTAGATAGAATTAACTGTCAGGTAACATCAACGGCATTTATATCAGAACAAATCAATAGCTGCCATTTTCAAGCAATGGCCTATACATTTATATAGAGGCAAATACATATGGCATATACACAAGTGACACTTTTACCTACCTTATACCACACATGGTACATTGAAATGGTTTAAAACCTCCATGACTTTTCTGATGTACGTTAAGGGAATGTTTTGCTGTAAACTTTTTATCACAGATATCACAAGAATATAATTTAATCCCAGAATGACTTAATTTATGTATCTCATATTTCCTTTTAATTGTAAAAACTTTAGAACAGATCTCACATATGTGTGTTTTATAAAGTGTGTGTAAATTCATATGAAGTGAGAGAGATTTTTTGTTTTTATATTTCTTATTACATTGGACACATTGATATTTTTTAGTAATATCTTTTATTAAATCTACATTTTTATTTTCTGCACATAATAAATCGGGTAAATACTTTAGGCTCATAGGATCAAAATTAATTGGTAAATTTTCTTTCTCTTCACCATTTATTTCACAACTGCCAGTATTTTGTTGGTAATTTTCTTTTAAATTATTTTCAGCCAGTATGCCAGTATATATTTTTGTTTCATTTTTAATTATTAAATTTTCATCAGCGAAATCATTATTTTTATTATCAATTGTTGTTGTCTGTATTTTTCTTTTATGTAAATTTATATGAACAACCAATGTGTCCTTTCTTGTAAAACCTTTGCCACATATATCACATAGAAAAAGTTTTACGTCATTATGTACAACACTATGGGCATGTAAATGCGATTTTTGATAAAATCTTTTTAGACATATTATACATTCATAATTTTTATTATTATCATGTCTTAATATATGTCTATTTAAGCTGTATTTATTAGAAAATGTTTTACTACATTTTTCACAAATATAGCATCTTCCATTTACGTGTATTTTCAAATGAGTTTGAAGACTATGTAAATGCATATATTTTTTTAGACATATATAGCATTGATATGTTTTATCTACCTTATGGCTGTTTATATGTTTATAAAGCTTGCTTTGATTATTATATGACTTTTCACAGATCCTGCATGAATATTTTACATCAGAATTTTCAAATGAAATATTGGTATCCATTACAAAACCTTAAGTTTTTCTGGAAATTACTAAATTAAATAATATATACTCATAAAGTCACCTAGGAATTCGTCTTAAAATGTAAAAACAAAATAACAAAGCTTATTAAGTCGAAACAAAAACAAAATGATTTAAAATTCGAAAAGAACAGACTGACATTTGACTTTGACAGATAAAGAACATGTTGCCATAATCTAAATGTTTTGATTTTGCTATTAACCATAAATACGTGACTGTTATTAACTTGAATTAACAAAACTAATAAAACATTAATCCGAAATTTAACAACATATATTTATCAATTAAATTGTCACATAATAATAAATACATATATGCAAACTTGTCTGAAAGCAGTGACTGTATAGTTCCTTATATTTGTGCAAATTGAAAGCTTTCATTAAAGGTAACACCTAAAAACCTTCAGGCTACGGAACTACGGAATACGAAGCTTTTTGGTTTTCAGTCGATAATTGTACCGAACGCTAACGCGTAGTCGTTTGCTCAAAAGAGGCACTAATTTATACTTAACTAATTATATAGTTATGGTGTTTTTTGATAGTAATTATTGAAGTTGATTATCAGACTTTTGTTATTAAATGCTTACTGGAGAAGATTTCGATTTTCTTTTATGTGAAGTGAACAATATTGATTAGTTTTGGTGGAGTAGTGGAACTAGGAACTAGCAGTATGTATGCTTTTCTTTTTTTTTTAATCGATTTCAAAAGAGGTTTTAATTCAGCTATGTTTTTTTTGTGTTCGCAAATCAAAATTGCTCCTGGTTGATATTATTAAGTTGTGCTTATTTTGTTCCATTTTTAATTTTCCAATAATAATTTCATTAAATGGATTCGCAAATAGCTACAGCACAATAATGCGGTGTTATTTTTTTATTTAGGGGCGCTTTACACGGACTAAATCTGTCCGTGTAAGGCCACCCTTAGTTTTTTTATAGTAAATTTTTACTTAAGAAGCCTTCGATTAGTTATTACTATTATATTAAAATCTCACTTTTGCTAAAATTAAATTATAAATTACTAGCAGTTACCCTTGACTTTGTTCGCGCGGTATAAAAAAAACACTTAACGAAATTAAAAAAAAATAGCCTATGTCATAGAAACTGCTTGACCGATTCTCATGTAATTTTGTGACCATATTGAGTAGGTCTGACAATCGGCCAATATCTATTTTTCATCCCTCTAAATGTTAAGTTTTTTTTTTATACCGCGCGGACGGAGTTGCGGGCGACAGCTAGTATTAGTATGGATATCGGAAATATTTTGTATCATACAATTTCTATATTATTGTATTCAAGCTTGCCAAATATTATTTTAGATTTAGTGTACCTAATTTTATACCTTTATGTACACTTGCATTTCGATAATTCTATTTACATGTTTACATAGATTTATATAAGTTTACACTATCGAACCATTAAAACAAAAACATATTATCACACTAGCTGTTGCCCGCGACTCCGTCCGCACGGAATAAAAGCTTAAAAGCCCATGTGTTCTACATCTATACCAAATTTCATTGAGATCCGTACAGCCGTTGTGGAGATACCTTCAAACAAACATCCATCCATCTAAACATTCGTATTTATAGTATTTTTTTTCTATTAATACTAAACCGTAGGTTTCGCCAGCCAGTAGTAAAAATTCTTTTTTTTTATCTAAAGAGGTTGCTTATCAATTTATGGTTAAATTGCTTTTATTTCTATACGCAAGTACGCCTTTCTTTTGGATAATCTGCGAAACGGCTGGACCTATTTTGATGGATATATGTTTGTTAGAAGGTATCTCCAGAACGGCCAATTCTCGGTGAAATTTGGCATAGATGTAGAACATAGTCTGGAAGGACACAAAGCCTACTTATTAAGTTTATTTTTAATTCAGCAAGTAGTTTATATTAGAAACCAGTGTTTTTTTATTAATTTCGAAGCTCTTTTTAACTTTATTTTCGCTTAGTTATTTTCCAAGATTCAAAGAATGCGTTCACTTTATCCAGGTCACACTAAAATAGACTTCCCTTGTTGTTTTACGATGTCGTTAAATTCATCGTAAATATAGATGCGAAGATAAAAATCCTTAAGAGCAAAGTAAGAAATATAATAAAGTCAAATATACACATTGAAATAAATAGGTATTTACCAAGAATACTGGACAGTTTTATAATTAAAAAATCTTATTTCTTACTAATATTATAAATGCGAATGTTTGTTTGAAGGTATCTACGGAACGGCTGCATGTATCTAGCTGAAATTTGTCATACATATAGAACATAGTCTGGAAGAACACATAGACTACTTATTTTGTTTCTAATTTCGCGCAGACGGAGTCGGGGGCAACACCTACTAACTACATAATGTTTCATTTAACAAAGTTTGGAATTGATACATCGCACAAGGTTTCAATATTAAATTTTACGTATCTTACTAATATTATAAATGCGAAAGTTTGAAGGGATCTCCGGAACGGTTCAATTAATATGAATTTAGGCATATATAGTCTAGAATAATAATAATGCATATCAAAAAATAATTTTTTTTCTAGCCGTGTTTGCAATCAGGCTTCGTAGTTCCTTTTTTTGCGAAAAAATCGCGTGAAAGTCGTACAAAAATTTATGACACATGGCACCGGACTCGGCGCTGGCACATACTTGTAGTTTTCAGTTTTTCTCCACATTTCATAGTGGTAGAGCTCGCTTTAACATCTTCGCAAGAATTGACCCGGCTCGCCCGGTGAAATACGAAAAAATGAAGTGGAAGCAATTCCGCGTTTCTTCTGATGAGTGTGTCCCGGAGCACTAATTTACTCCTCTTTCTCTTCCCACCCTTTTTCTTCTAAGGAAAAGATAGGAAGTGGTAGTGGACTTTCCGGATGAGAGGATGCATGGAAAGGGAAGATATTTTCTTTTTGTGCCATCTCTCCTCCGTCGGTTAATGGTAGGCAACGCAGATGCAATTACGTATGTCTATGGGCAACGGTCACTTCGCTATTTCAGCGATTTCAGGTGTCCGCTCGCTCGTTTGCCACCTAATGATATAAAAAAAATCGACCGTTGGGCGACCTCACTATTAAATCGTCTTTCGAAAACGGAAAATGCAAACTTCTTACTAAATCAAACACAAGCCGTTTTGTTCACATCTTTGGCAAACTTTGGCTTCGCGCCAAAACAACATGCTACAGATTATATACACGTCAGAATTTTGTTTTATGAATAGACACAGAGGCGTTAGATGTTTTATGGTATGCACAGAATAAATATTAATTATTTATCTCTTTATTTCCTGTGGCTGGAGGAATTTTGTTTATTATTTCTATGACTATTCCGTAATTTTACGATTGGATTATAATAACAAAACGGTAATAAGACCGATCTTGATATATGGCTGCGAAACCTGGACACCGACCCTTAAAGAGGAGGAAATGCTGGCGGAAAGAAAAATAATGCGCAAGATCTTGGGCCCAACACAAAGAGAAAACGGCAGCTAGAGAACCCGCTAGAACGCAGAAATTGAGACGCTGGTGGGTGAGCCGAATATCATCGGAGAAGCAAAAGCTCACAGACTCCGATGGCTGGCCACAGGATGAGGGAAGATCGAAAGGCCAAAGCAGCATATCTCAGGACCCCGACTGGCCGCAGACCCATCAGTCGGCCCAGGTACCGCTAGCGAGACGCCGTAGAGTTGGATCTGCGGGATCTACAAGCGATGGACTGGCAGGTGAAGTCGCAAGACAGGCGACTTTGGCGATATCTTGTGTCGGAGGCCAAGACCCACTTTGGATCGCCAGCGGAGTAGTAGTAGTAGATTATAATAACGAATTATAGGTTAATAAAGCTGAATATTTCCGATCCAGTTTCGTATGTAGCGTCACCAGGCGTCCGGATAAAGCCGGATAGCTGGCTTTTTGATTACGTGTCCGGCTAAAATAAACCATGTCCGGGTTATTAGGCTTTTTATATTCAGTACTGTAAGGATGGCCTTTCTAAGCTAATATCCGGTCAAACTGTGTCTGTTCGGCTATTATATATTGCGACCTGACAACCCTATTGTACGTAAAAATAAAAATTGTTTACTTAAATCTATATTAACAATTCTTTATATTTCTTAAGGTTATCCAGTGTTATGTTTACTATTTAAAAACAAATTTAGACGCCATTTTGTCTTTATTCTTATGTCACTCGATGTCACTAATGTCAATATTTAATCTGTGACATCCGTTTTAAATATTTATCGTGAAACAAGCTAACACAACTCCGTCCGTGCGCAACTAAAAAAACTTAGTCATCCTATTTGTTTCAATTTTTACCTGTGAAATTATTAAAAATCATAATTATGAATTACTAGGTAACAACTAAGGTGGGAGGGGCCGAAAAAACTAAAAAAATAGGTCACGTTGTATGTGTATGTTCTCTTATACTCATTTTTATATTTTCCTTTCTCCCTGATTAGCTAGACTCGCTTACCATTATTATAAAAAGGGCTGAAAAGGGATTAGAAGTGGCTTATTGCTAAAATCATCTGAAAGAAGCCCTCAAAGTTATTCAGCATCGTATGTAATGTTTCTCGTCTTTCGAATTTCAAATTAATCAAATACTCAAGACACGTCCGCATCCGCAGTATCGTATCTACTTTTAAAATATTGTTTATTTGTAATTCCCAAATTGCTGTAGCCGTCAGTTAATATAAAAATAGTATTACACGTTTTTGCTTGAATGTGTACACCAATTATTTATTTTGAAACAGGATATGATGGTTAAATTTTTGTTTTAATATTTTCATTATAAAGATATAGTCGTAAAATTCAAAATATTATTTATGAATATTACTCACTTAATTATAAAAGACTAGCTGTCGCCCGCGACTACTATAATGTGTTTTTCATGCCAAATTTCATCGAGATCAGTTCTATTGTTCTAGAGGTAAACTGATATAAAAAACGGCTAAACACTCACGTTTCGAAACTAGTCCGGTGGCGGCACCGACTAGTTTCGAGCCTACCAGTGAGCGACCAAGCCACTCATCCTGATGAATGAGTGAGACACATGAGACATTATAATAAACTGATCATCAGTTTATTATAATGTCTCATGAAAGTTTGAAATAGTGTAAAGAAAGTCGTAAATGTGTGCGCGTCTTATTTAGAAGTTGAATTGAAATGTAAGTCAATTGACTAAAATCAATGGAAAGTCTCATTAAAAAAAGACATGGTCACCCTACATAAATATAAATAATTCCTAGTGCCTCTCTGTGCGCTGAGTGGTTAACAGCGCGATGTCTATTGAAGTTCTCACTCATTAAAATAATTTAAAGGCCGCTCTATAGACGACGTGTTTATAACTCTTTTTAATACACATTCGTGTTAAAGAGCTGGCAAAAATATGATTTTCTTTTCTATCGCCAGCATATTCCCCTGCCATAAACGCGCAAACACAAGTACGGTGAATTTCTTCACAGATATGTGCAGCATCACGATATTCTTCACCGTAAGAATGTCAGTTAAATGTACTTTTAGATATTATTAGTTAGAACCCTTTGACGCGAATGACTTTCGTTACAAAGGCAAGTGTCAGAATGATTAGTGAGGGGACATAAACATCGACATTTTAATAAGGCTAGTGTTGGGTCAATACCAGTGTATTGTGGCAGTCCACATTTTCGGATTTTCTTCCTAACAGTATACAGGAAAATTCGTATATGGCGAGCATTGAAATTAGGACCTATAGGTTAAAAGTTAATTGCATAAACACTGCGCCACCAACACCCTTTTTTATAAAGAAAATATTAACAGTTTTTTGTCAATTTACTATTATAATATTTCTTATACTATTAATAAGCTCTAGGCTTGTTAGGACATGGTTTATGAAAATTTCCAAATGGTGATCTCAACCGTGTGATCGGGAATCCGTGCCCTTAATGGCCGTATGGCGCGCCAAAGTCAAGTGTCACAATGATTAGTGAGGGGACATAAACGTTGACATTTTAGTAAGGATAGTGTTGCGATATACCGGCAGTGTTGGATTTTCTACTTAACATTACGAATTCTGATTTATTAATTGTTAAATTATTTGTTTCAGAAATAAATAATGGACAAAATACAACATAGGAATACTGTCTTCTTGATCACAGTAACAATTCTATCCTGGATGTCTGTGGGTGAGTACATTATTCTGATCTTAAAATACCATAGATAATGATGTTGACATGTATTTAATCTGTGATATTAAGAAAAATATATATTTAACTATAAAATTAAAGCATTCAATGAATCAACGAACCTTTTTCTCGTGTCTTGTATTTTTTTTAATAATTTAAAAATAAATACGCGTAACTCGAAAATCTACGCTCTTGAGACAGAAGCCGTTTAAGTTTAGAAGGGCTTTTTCCCGCTCATTATCTCTGGTCGAACAGATACCTTTTTTATTCTTAGATGTTTGGTCTATGGTTAAAAAAGTTAAAACTACTCTACACTTGTCTATGGTCAATAATAAATTCTTTTCCAGTGGAAAGCATAGACTGTTTTAAATGCGTGTCTATGAACGGCCGCTTCCCGGCGTGCGACGATCCTTTCCACAACAACCACTCGCTTCAGCTGCTCGAATCGCCTTGTATGGGCGGCAGGAAGGGGAGAGACGGTCTCTTCCCTGCCACATCGTGTATCAAGATCGCTGGGATATTCGGTAAGTCAAACTTTGTGAAGTTTGCTGATTTATAAGCGGGCTGAATATTAGTTTGAATAATCAGCAAATTGCAAAATAAAGGATTCTTGACTTACCGGTTTACAAACTGACGAAGTTAAATTGTAATCTCTTGGTAATGTATTAAGTTATAGATTGTCTAATATTTATCTATGATACAAGCAGTGATTACCAAAAGAATAAAATAACAGGGCCTTCTTAACCCGATTGCAAAAGTTACGTGGCGCCCGGGCGTCTGAAGGCGCGACCGACTTTTAGAGACAACAGACTGATTTTCGCATTCGGGTGCCCAATATGATTAAAATGGCATTATTAACTGATACAGTAGATGTAATTGATAGCTGTAATTTATAATTATCAGAGTATTTTGGCTATTTTTTTTTATAAAATTAAGGGGCAAACGAGGAACGAGAACACAGAGGTGTTTTAGCCCAAGGACATTTGTATTACCAGAGGGACAGATGCGTTCCCGGCTTTTGACAAGATTCTTTATTTTGAGCTTTCTATTTGTATGTTTTATTAATTTCATTGATAGTGTATGCATGAATTTATTATTTGTCTCGAGTGTACACGCCATAAGTACAAGGTAAAGAGAGTTGGGGCAGTCGATGGACCTTTGGACCAGCAGCACGTGTCGGTACGTGAACAAGCCAAATATAATGCAACGAATGCTACAATTTAAATTTCAGATGATACTGGCGAGAAGATTACAGTCCGCGGCTGTGGGCTGGACTCGGGCACCGCTACGACAGACACGGAGATCATAAGAATGTCGCATTGTGGACGATTCTACTACGATGACAGGTAATATTAGCAATATACAGTCTCACTCAGTCGCATGTCTCTACAGGAATGTCCACAAAGAAGAAAAATAACAGCTAAATAAGGAAATTTACAGAAAGGCAAATTTTATTTTTCAGTCTTACTAATATTATAAATGCGAAAGTTCAGATGGATGGATGTTTGTTAGAAAGTATTTCTAGAAAGGCTGAACGGATCTTATAAAACTTGGCATACATATAGAACAGTCTCTGAGAACATAAAGGCTACTTATTAAGTATTTTTTTATTCCACGCGGACGAAGTCGCGGGCGACCGCTAGTTATGTTATCAAACGAATATTTAGATGGATGGATGTTTGTTTGGTATCTCCATAACGGACATCCATCCATCCATCTAACGGATGTCGATGAAATTTGTGTAGATGTAGAACATAGTCTGGAAGAACACATTGGCTACCTGTTTAGTTATTTTTTAATCTTCGAGGACGAAGTCATGGGTGAGAGCTAGTGTTATTATATAGTAGGCAATGAATTTGCAACTCAAACGGTTACAGATAACAGTTCGTTTGAAAAATATATATTTATTTCAGATACGTACACGGCTGCCTCCAGAGTTGCAATGACGCGGACGCCTGCAACTCCTCTGACGTCATCAAATCCCCGATGCTACTGGCAACACTATTACTGATGACGTCATCACTCAGCTAACGGATGTCATGTTATGTAGTTTAATTTATACAACGCTATTCGTGCACGATAACATGATGCTGGAGTGACCTTGTCTTTGATAGCATAGACTATATCTACTAATGCAAGTGGCATACCTGTAATGTTATATTGAAAAAATATATGTTACGTGAACATAATATATTTGCGGCAATTCATATAATAAGTTTTATGTCTGTCCAGGCCGCGTTTGTTTTCTTTTCATCTTTGAAACTGTTGTGTCAGATTTTAATGGGACTCTTATTGGAAGGTATTTGATGTATGCGGTAAAATATCTATAAATGGATAGGTTATTGATTGAAAAATCAGTTCTGATCCTAACCACTGTTAGCAATCGTAACCATCAGCGCCAAAATGGCGATAATCGAATGAGCACAAAATACCGCGACTATAGCCTGTCATGCATAGAGGTCAGTGATGCGAAAGTAACATAAGCTACTTTTTTATCCGCGCTAAAGAAATGGCTGAATAACAATTAAATTTATTATAAATTCTGTATAACAATAAAACACACAATTAGTTAAATATGTATATTTGCCATTAATTATTATTTTTAAACGTTTATTAACATATCTTTGGATATGACAAATATATTTGACTCGGTGAGAGGCGCTACTATCGCGGTTCATTCGGCATAGGAAACAAAAGAGAATAATCTCGCTAAGACAAGATACAGCACGATTCTTTTGTTATTGACAGGAGGGCGCTAGTGAGCTGTCAATTAAGTTTGACTTACGCTCATCGAGTCAAATATCCTTGTCGGTTTTTATCACTGATTTCTATAAATGTATAAGCGATTTTTTGGAAGTAATAGCTATTGTTTCATTCCGATTTAAACACCCCTGCGGGGTTAGACAAAGAGCATTCGCCAGCGATTCCATAACGATCTTCAAGTAAGTATATAACTGATAATAACTTTGGATAAGTCACGCGATTGTCGCGACACAGTTGCATACAATCTTTGAACTTAGTAGCGACTGCATTTTGTCTAGCTTCGCCGTTTAATTGTATTAGTTCCAATTCACACCACCGCTATAAAACTCTACCATAAGCTCCAAAATGGTGAAAATCAAATAGGCACAAAATACTTCGTCTTATAAGCCAGTCCATTTATAGAGATCAGTGGTCTATAGCCATAATTGTAAAAATACGCAATATTTTATCGCCATATCAAATATTTAAATATTATTTTAGATTTAAGAATGTTTATTAAATTAGTTGTAAATTTATACACTGTTCAATATAAAGCTTCTTTATGGAAATGGAGTAAGCAAAATAAACAAATAAGTATAATACAAAGTATTGTTTTCTTTTTAACCCAAAAGTAACAATTTATTATGTGACAAAATCCGGCCCGCGGTTAGTTCTATCAGAAAATATGGAAAACCTAATTAACAGTGAATCAATAATATTTTGGAATTTAAAAACCAATAATTTATTTTAAATTAACCACAAAAGTACTCGAAAAAGTATTACGAAAATCAAATTTTAATTACAAATGTAAATTTCAAGTAAAAATCAAAATATTTATTAATTATTTTAATATGTTTCAGATCTTCCTTCATCGAAAGATTGTTCAGTATCTTCTTCTCTTGCTGTATCTAATAAAAGAAGAAACACAATTCTTAATATCAACAAATTCATAACAAATGTCAATAGTATAGTAGTTTATTTGATTGAAATAATGTAAAAAGATAATAATTTGACTAAAAATGTCAATAGTAAAACACTTCAATTGACGCGCGTTACATCAAAAAGTGTTTTTATCTCTGTCATTTCAAAGAGACTGAAGAAGACGACAATATGTTTATCTTATTACTTATGTGTACATACACATGTTTTGAAATTGTCAACTCACCAGATCCTTCCGTGTCATCAAACTGCTGCGGCTTTGAGTCACATTTGCATCGTTTGAGATCTTCTAGTGCTCGTAATTGTGAAGGCAACATTGTGGAGGTGTCTTCAGGTTGAACTTAATTAAAATTCAAATATTATTGTTATTATGGAGACTATATCTACACCAAATGTTGCATTGGTGAACATGTATACTATATATAAGACGCACGATATTATATTCACTAATTTATTTTCACTTTGCCACAACCTTCCACTTCAACAGCACGATACCGAATGTCCAACCGACCTCCTTCTACCTCTCAGCTCTCGATAAATTTTCCGTCCCTCTCCCTGACAGCTTAAGGTGTTGCCCGTACAATTAACGAACCCTAACATTAGGGAACCTTAACATATGTTACAGAATATATAAAAAAAACATCAGAGTTAGCAAAGGTAGAACAGATCCAGGGCTTGTTTTAGCATATCTGGCGCCCTGGGCTACATTTTTACGGCGCCCTCTTTTTATTAGTGTCGGGAGAAATCTTATAAGGATAGATATTAGTAGGGGGCATCGTAGGTGCCATTTCATCTAACTTGGGTGCCCTCGGCGCCCCCCTAATGTTCGGCGCCGCTACTGATGATTAATTATTGATGATGACAATGTAGTAAATTGGTAATATACAGACAAAGTATTGATGATGGTTATTAGACTAAGCTTACCAAACTCCTCATCAATCGCAGTGGATCCTTCACCTTCACATCTACATGTTATATCACTAGACTTCTCTTCAGCACGACGTCGGATCTCAGAGGGCAGTTCCTTTGGACCTGTATACAGTTAAGGTAGCTTTTATGTTATAAAGTGGCAAACAAGAATTCGCAGAAATAGCGAAGCCACGGCTGTCCGTAGACTTCCACAATTTCAAATGCTTCAATCTACAGAAAAAATATTACCCTTTCCTGTGTGTAGTATATGCATAAACGTAGTGTTGTTTGTCTCGAGCGTAGTAGTGCGAGCGTGTCGATGTCAGACCTTTGGACCGGCAACACGTGTAGTGTGAACCAAATATAACGCAAAGAATGCTATGCGTACACTTTTCCGTTAAATTCACTTAACATTCACATCCTCTTGATGCCTCTTGATCCATTTCATCGTTTAAATTATATATACTTACAAGGTGATTTCGGATAAGGCTCTGTTCTACCGAGCGCGTCAGATATCTTCCTAACCATAAAGTAATGTTGGTCTGGACGTCGCACAGCGGGCGGTAATACACCCATCGCACGATTTATTACTGGGAAATATAATTAATAATTACAGCGCCATCTATAATTTATCCAAGAAGACTCAGAATATTGTACGAGTGTGCACAGAATATAGATTTTGATTTCAACGTTAATGAAGACGTTTAATTTATTGTTACATAACTCTGAGTACTTTTTGATGAGACTTTGACTTGAAGGTAGCTGATGAATGCAGAAGTAAAATAGAATATTTCCATGTTAAGTAATTCGGGAGCAATAGCTATTTAAAATGAACTCACCATCGTCTACCGCCTGCCTCGCGTCGATTAATACTTGATATCTCTCATACAGATCTTGTTTAAAGTCCAACTTTAGAGCCTGCAGGTCTTCAGCTCGTCTTCTGGACATTGTCACAGCTGGAGGGAAATATAAATACCTTTATTGTAAAATTCTATGTTACTCTTTGATCAAAGACATTTCTAGTCTTTATGATATCTTACTAATGTTATAAATGCGAATGTTTAGAACAGTGGTTCCCAAACTTATTTTGTCTATTGCCCACTTTGAGAATAAATATTTTTTTAGCGCCCCCATATTTTCACATATTTAAAAACCACTATAACTTCAAATTAAATTAATTAATTATTGTGACCTATATATGTATATTAACGGAGAATTGTAAAGGAAACTTTTACTATGACCCGCAACTTGAGACCTGCAGCGCCCACAAGGGGGCGTTATCACCCACTTTGGGAAAGACTGGTCTAGATAGATGTTTGTTAGAAGATATATCCAGAACTGCTGTATAAATCTTAATGAAATTTGTCATAGATGTAGAACATAGTTTTGAAGAACACAAAGGCTACTATTTTAAATTCCAAGCGAACAGAGTCCTGCGCGACAGTTAGTACTTAATATTTATACTTTGATTTCTAAGAAATACTTACCATCGTGTAATATATCATTTAGTTTATATCTCAGTTCATGTTCTAAAGGAATTCGTTCGTCAAACGATCTCTCCCGTTGTTTAGGGCGACCTGCGAAATAAGACGATTTAATTCAACTTTTCATTACTACTGAAACACTTAAACAAAACCAAGTTTTAATTTAAAAAAACAAACATTAATCCCGGCTGACTATGTCCTGTGTTTAATGGATGAAATAACGCCATCTATTGGTTACATTTGAAAACTTATGTTTTGTTTTTTTTTTATTTAAATTTAAGTGTTATAGCTAGAGAGATTCGATTTCGTTTTTAATTAATTTTGAATTTTATTTTTTTACATCTACTATATGTGTTTGTGCCAATGTTATATACACTATGACATTCTGTGGAAGAATACGAATCGAATGACACCTCAATTATCAAAATCGGTTCAGTTGTTTAAGATTTAAACCATCACAACGAAATTTTCTTACATAAAAATTTACGCATGTCTTATCATTAGGGTAATTAATAAAAAACAAACATAATATGTACTATATTTCACTAGTGGAATCAGATACTTACTTAATGCCTTCTTCCACCGTGGATCATCACGTGAGATGGTAGCCATCGGCTGCAGATCCAACTTGCAATATCTACAGCGACACAGATCATCCAATTGAGCACCACATCGCGTACAACTTTCTAGAATAAAGAAAGAGACAGCTATAGCACATTTCCTTTAGCATAAAAAGAATAGCAACACGGCGCTTTTTTTGCTGTGGGTAAAAGCGGAACTAAATGAAAATAGCTAACGCCCTCATGTTAAAAGATTCTTTTCTTACTGTATTTTCTTTTCTCATGTAGGTATTACATCCGTTCTGAAGGAAATTACCGCGACAGCAGCTCCTCTCACCAGTTCAGGTATCATTTTTCGACTAAATCTTATCTTTCTATGCCTAAATACATTTTACCTCTACTATAACGTAACCTAATTAAAATCGTATCAACGTAAGACGGAAAATCCTAGATCAGTGATTCCCAAAGTGGTCTAAGGTCTCCTCTATCTAGAAATCCTAGATGTATCCTTACCTCCCTCAATACTAGACTCATCAAAGAGTTTAAATATTGTCTTCCTCGCGGTTTCCACTTTGCTCTCCTGCGCTGCGCTGATGCGATGTCGTGACGCTGCTTTATGTGCTTCTGGTAGCAAGAACTGCTGCACTAATTCTGCCACTAGTTCGTTCTGTTCTGCTGTAGACCTATACAAAGAATTATTTGGTAAATCCATGCCATCCCTTTTACTCACCTTGACTAAAACAGAGACAGCGAATACAAATTAAAATTCAAAGAACCTTAAAAAACCTAGATTTTCGATAGTCTTCACATGACGTCAGTTACTTCAAGTACCAGGCGAGCAGAAAGCACGAGGTAGTCATATAATACTTTACGATACAATTGAATCTTTAATTGACCTCCACGTGTTTTCTGCTCGCCTGGTACCTTACATCACAAAGTGACGTGACGAAAGTGACGTTTAATATACTAACATGGAGCCATTATTCCTCATTGCTTCATCGATCTTATCAGCTTTGCCAAGAGCCATCTTCACCGCGTCTTCTTCGCTGGCGAGCTCCACGCCCTCCTGGATTATTTCCTTTAGATACGCGTCTACTGTCTCTTGAGTCACTCCAAGAACCTGTATATTTTTTATTAACTTAAACCAAAGGTTCTCCAACTTCTTGTAGATCTCTCTCGAATCATAGTTTTGTCTTACCCGTTTGAACATCTCATCATGTTCTCGTCTTCTGTGCTCTTCTTTCTGTCTTCTACCTGCTTCTGCTGCTTCTCGCATCGTCTTCTCCCTCACTGAAATAAATAATTCTTAACAAACGTACTTCATTTTAAGTCGATCTTCATTTCGGAAGAATAAAATACAGTTTAGTACTTATTTCAAAGGTCTCTCTACCATCTTACGCATAATCAATTTATATCTTTAAAATTGTTTTATTCTCTACTTGCAACTGGATACCACAGTATCATGTCATATTTTTGGTCATATCTAGGACTAAACCAGTCATAAACCTATTCAAATACCTACCAAAAAATAGACAAACTCACAAGCAATAAGTATGAACGCATGATGCTTTCTCTCCTCCTTTAATCTTCGCAATTCTTTCTCCAGGAAGTCCAATGCAGCAGCCACCGCACCTCCACAGAGCTCGTCCACTAAAGCCGTCACTGCATCCTCCTGGAAAATACTGACATTGCTGAAAGAAGATTTTTAAAAGGAACAAACATAATTGGTACCTATATTTTTTTCCAGAATGGCCTCACATTTTAAAGGGTCTTTTTTCTACAAATGCCAATAACTAAGGCGATTTTTATCTTGACATTGTTGCGATATTACCTTTTGTTCAGCCTCCGTGCGGAGCGCTATATGATCTCTGGCTCTCGCTTCCTCTCTGGCGATACGAGCTTTATCCTCTTTCTGAAGACCGTGAGTTGTCTTTAATTCTTCTGTAAGCTCTGCTGCACGGGTACGACCTTCGAACATCTAAAAGACAGAGACTTTACACTTTATCTAGACTTGAGAAGAAAGTATCTTTTCATGGTAGACATTTTATTCCCCTCTTCTAATAAAATTCTTCTTCAACTTTTGAACTCTTAATTTTATTTCCAGCTAACGTATACATCCTGGTCTAATTTTCTTGGATGCTTTAAATTAATTTCAAGAACATGTCTAATTTCTATATTTCTCACTTACCAGATTCTGCACTGCACGTCCTCTAATGATCTTTTGGAGTAGCAGAGCGTGCTGATGATTATCTTCATCATCATCATCCACAGCCTCTACTTCAGGGGTAGGCGGACGAAGGTTCGTCGTCTGACGGCGCGGTTTCAGCACACGGAGTGGTCCGGCTGCCGTTAATGTCGCGCCAAGACGAGCCTCTGTGTGTTGAATTTATCACCAGAAATTATTTTATCACCAGAAAGACAGAACCCTTGTTTCATCCAGAGATTTCCTGCTTTCCTGCCACTAGATCCTCAGTCATTTCTAGAAGACCTATCTAAACTACACAAGTTTTAGCATTAATGCTTAGTGTAGAATTTTTATACTATCTACACTAATAGAGCCACTTAGTGACAACTGAGAGCGGCACTTAAGGTTACTAGGAGACCAGAGATAAAGAGATACCAACTTTTCAAATCATCGTGCAAATTCTTCAAGAACTTCTCGCTCCATTTAGTCTCTCTCTCACATAACTGCGTCGTGTCCCTCGGGAGATGGTGTCCTGAGCACGAGTGTTTTAGATCCTGACCGCAGCGCTCCAGCCATGCTGGTGGTTCTGCAGCTTTCTGATGATCTTCTAGAACTGTACATAAGATTGTATTTAAAATATGTAAATTGTAACCGTTATTAATTGACGTCAGCACAGGGGTCCTATTTGACCTCTTCGTGTCTTCTGTGCGCCTGTTACTTGTCAGCATTGACGTCATCACACATGACGTATGACTTACGTCAGCGCCTTTGATGACGATTGACTGACGTCAGCACAGGGGTCCCATTTGACCTTTTCGCGTCTTCTGCGCGCCTGGTACTTGTCAGCATTGACGTCATCACGCAAGACGTGTGACTTACGTCAGCGCCTTTGATGACGATTGACTGACGTCCGCACAGGGGTCCCATTTGACCTCTTCGTGACTTCTGCGCGCCTGGTACTTGTCAGCATTGACGTCATCACGCAAGACGTGTGACTTACGTCAGAGCTTTTGATGACGATTGACTGACGTCAGCACAGAGGTCCCATTTGACCTCTTCGTGTCTTCTGCGCGCCTGGTACCTGTCAGCATTGACGTCATCAAACATGACGTGTGACTTACGTCAGAGCTTTTGATGACGATTGACTGACGTCAGCATAGAGATCCTATTTGACCTCTTCGTGACTTCTGCGCGCCTGGTACTTGTCAGCATTGACGTCATCACACATGACGTGTGACTTACGTCAGAGCTTTTGATGACGATTGACTGACGTCAGCACAGAGGTCCCATTTGACCTCTTCGTGCCTTCTGCGCGCCTGGTACTTGACAGCATTGACGTCATCACGGGTGACGTGTGACTTACGCCAGCGCCTTTGATGACGATTGACTGACGTCAGCACAGGGGTCCCATTTGACCTCTTCGTGTCTTCTGCGCGCCTGGTACTTGACAGCATTGACGTCATAACGCATGACGTGTGACTTACGTCAGAGCTTTTGATGACGATTGACTGACGTCAACACAGAGGTCCCATTTGACCTCTTCGTGTCTTCTGCGCGCCTGGTACTTGTCAGCATTGACGTCATCACGCAAGACGTGTGACTTACGTCAGAGCTTTTGATGACGATTGACTGACGTCAGCACAGAGGTCCCATTTGACCTCTTCGTGCCTTCTGCGCGCCTGGTACTTGACAGCATTGACGTCATCACGGGTGACGTGTGACTTACGCCAGCGCCTTTGATGACGATTGACTGACGTCAGCACAGGGGTCCCATTTGACCTCTTCGCGTCTTCTGCGCGCCTGGTACTTGACAGCATTGACGTCATAACGCATGACGTGTGACTTACGTCAGCGCTTTTGATGACGATTGACTGACGTCAGCACAG